TTGGCGCCCTGAGGCTGCTCGTGGTGTTGCGCCGTCCCGGTCCTCCTCCTTTGCCACGCATGCGCGCTTTCGGGGCCCATTCGATATTGACGACTAATACGCGCCGACCCGACTTTGACTTTGTGCTTTTGGCTCGAAAAAAAGGCTTCTGTCTGGCTGTGTCGCAGCTTGCAGCTCTGCCTTGTCCTTTGCAGCTGTTGTTGTTCCTGTTGCTGCGCATGCTTGCGTTGCTGCTGTCCTTCGTAACAGCAGACCTTGTCTTTGCCTGCTGTCATGCTGTGTCTGGCTCCTTTCTTCCGAGGCTCACGGTTCGGCCCACGACTTGCTCGCCATGACTGCCCTGAACGCCCTGCTGCATCCACTACATGAGACCGACATCGGGCTGCTGGTCGCCGCCTGGGTGGCTGGCCCGGCTGCTGGTGCGCCTGCCCGCGCACTGGAGCTGCTGCGGGCCCATCCGTCCGACGTGCCCGCGTCTTGCGAGGTCACTGAGACGGTGGTCGAGAATATCTACAAGCTTGCGGGTGCCGGCATGCTTCGCGCTCTGACCTCGCCGTCTCGGATTCATATCCCGTGCTGCACCGATGTCTGGAGGCCGCGCAGACGCGGGCTGCTTACGCTCTATGCTGGAACCTTGGAGTGCAGCTCCTGGACTATGAGCTCCGTCGCTGTGCGGCCTGCGGATGCCAGTACTCCTCTTGCTGGCGCCTGGATGCCTCGGGGACGATGTTTCTGTAAGCACCCTAAACCTTACACCCTAACCTCCTAAACCCCCCGGGAAGCAAAACCGCAGAGCCGTAACAACAACGAGCGCGAGCCCCGGGGACGCACACATGCCAAGCGTTGCGAAAACATGGACAAAGCGATATAGGATGTCGGGTGGGGTTGCATGACGTCTCCAAGCCCCCTAAACCTTACACCCTAACCTCCTAAACCCCCCGGGAAGCAAAACCACAGAGCGTTAAAAAAAAGATCGCGTGCCGTGCCCCGGGGACGCGCGCATGCCAAGATTTAATAGCAAGCGAGAACGAAGTGGAAAGGAGCGTGCGTCGTTTATTCATTCACTCCCTACCACCTTTCTTGTTATTATTGTTAACGTACGCCCCTTATAAAATATACGAACGCACGCTGCTCCCAAAGAAGGAAGACTATTAATATGAATTTCGAAAACATGGAGACAAGACACGATGTAGGAAGTTGGGTGCCAAGCCCTACGCCGTAAAAGTCACAGGGAGCCACTTCCAAAGCCTACTTTCCGCGACGCAAGTAGTTTTGCAAAAGTTGATTTTCGGGGTGGTGTCAAAACACGCAAAGCCCCCAATTAGGTGTGCGATGGCTTGTCCAGTAAGAATGGTAATCATCAGCTCTCCTTCCCAGTCAACGAGCTTCACAAGGTCACCGTCCTGCAGAGACCTTGCTCTGCAGCAAAATATTAGGAAACTTAAATTTGGATGGGCCGTTAAATTTACATTATGTAACTTATTTAGTTCAACAAAAATATGAAAAATATAAATGATCTAAATTCTGAGCAGTGTCCCTTTTGATCTTTTTGCTGCAAGAAGATGTTCCAGAATCACAAATCGCAAGCAGTTCTCCCCTTAGCTTGGTTTCGAAATTGACATAAAAAGCATATATAGTATACATAGTGTTTATAAAACATGGACGTGTGCAACGCTTTCAACAAGTTGCAGCCTATAGGCACTGCATGATTTCATACACTTTCTAAACGTATACAGGTAGCCGCCGCTACGATGCAGTTTTTTTGTGGTTCAACGTCTGATGGACTCCGCCTGCTGTTCAGAGCTGTGATCAAGCTTGAGTGTTTTGATGGGGCTTTGCTGCCGCGCCTGCTGTGCAAAGAGCGAGCTATGCGCGCGGGGCCATAAGCCATCTAACCCCACTAAAAAGCCCATTCAAACTTTAAGTTCTAAGCGATGAACCCTCTCCCGCTTCAGGCCATTATGCGCTACCTGTGCGAATTAAGCGGCGTCCTGGACCGCTGGTTCGGCAAGACGCCCCAGGACCCGCGGACACAACTTAAATCCTGAACCTTGAACCTTACTACTGGTACCAGTTCCTTCAACGGGACTGAATAGGGTTTGGGGCTTTCAAAAGTTTTTCCCGAGTTTTCTCAGGGCGTTCAAAGGTTTTCGGGGTTTTGGGGAGCTTCAAGTTTATGGGGTCAAGAGATGAGGCTTGAGTATTAGGTTTTTTTTGGGGTTAAGAGGCTTCAAGGGGTGTACGGGCTTAGCTTGGGCTTCTTTACGAGGCTTAGAGTTTGTAGAAGTTTGGCACGGCACTTCGAAGCCTCTCGGCTGCAATGCGAGGAGCGGGCACGCATTGCCATGCTGCTGTCCTGGCACCACCACGCCATCCGCAAGACCGTGATGCTCGACCACAACCTGCCCGTGTGCCCCTTGCCCAACCCTAGGGCCAAGATACACAGACTACAACTGGGGGTTAGAGTTCAGAGCTTTCGCCATAACAGGGTTCAGGGTTCGGGTTTAGCGTGCCCAGGAAGCTGGCAGAGTCCCACCAAACCCAATTGTGTCGAAACCCCCCCGATAACTCCAAACCCCAGATTCCCAACAGCCCTACGCCCTGCATCATCCCTACTTCCTGGCCCCTCTATAAACCCTCGGCCCCTCCACCTTTCCAGAGGTACTACATCCCCTTCTACCGCGGTGAGGCGAGAACCTTAAACCTTAAACCTTAAACCTTAAACCTTAAACCTTAAACCTTAAACCTTAAACCTTAAACCTTAAACTCCTAAACTCCTAAACTCTTAAACTCCTAAACTCCTAAACTCTTAAACTCCTAAACTCCTAAACTCCTAAACTCCTACACGCCTAAACGCCTAAACGCCTAAACTCCGAACCCTGTGAGGCGATGGGGCCCCGGCCCAGTGAGGCCCAGGCGCAGGCGCTGAGGGAAGCCTTCGCCGAGTCCCTTCAGCAGCTGGAGGACCCCTTTGGGGCTGGGGCTTAGGGCTCAGGGGTTTAGGGTTTAGGGTTTGGGGTTTGGGGTTTAGGGTTTAGGGTTTAGGGTTTAGGGGTTTCAGGGTTTCAGGGTTTAGGGTTGAGGAGTGCGGGACTTCGGTTCGAGGGTTGCCTGGCTTAGGGTTGAGGGGCTGAGGGGGTTGAGGAGTGCCCTGCGTTCAGGAAGGGGGGGGGGGCCTGGTTTTGGGTTTCTGTGTAGGGTTGAGGGATTTGCTGAAAGAGTCTGAGGACTGTTTAGTTTAGGATGTTTAGGGCTTCGGAGTTCATGGGGTGGGCTAGGATGCAACATGCCTTCTTGCTTGTTCATAAAGTCCTAAAAATCCCCTCCTAAACGTCAAGTCAACCCTAAACCCTAAACCCTAAACCCTAAACCCTAAACCCTAAACCCTAAACCCTAAACCCTAAACCCTAAACCCTAAACCCTCAACCCTCAACCCTCAACCCTAAACCCTAAACCCTAAACCCTCAACCTCTCTTCATATATATATATATATATATTTAAACCCTAATGAAATCGTCGACTAAGCCAAGTCCTTCGTCGAATAAGCCAAGTCCTTCGTCGAATAAGCCAAGTCCTTCGTCGATTAAGGCAATCCTTGCTCATTTGCCTTTATCGACGAAGGAATTGGCTTATTCGACGAAGGACTTGGCTTATTCGACGAAGGGCCGGATCCTGGCCACTCTCCGACATTCGTCGATTAAGCCAAGTCCTTCGTCGAATAAGCCAAGTCCTTCGTCGAATAAGCCAAGTCCTTCGTCGAATAAGCCAAGTCCTTCGTCGAATAAGCCAAGTCCTTCGTCGAATAAGCCAAGTCCTTCGTCGAATAAGCCAAGTCCTTCGTCGAATAAGCCAAGTCCTTCGTCGAATAAGCCAAGTCCTTCGTCGATTAAGGCAAGTCCTTGGATGAACATTTTGTATTTTCTTAATGTTATGGGTATCTTTGGGCGGGTGTTTTTTTCCTAAGCCTGGAACCCCGAAATAGACTATGAATGCTAGAACAGTGACCCTCTAGACCCTAAACCCTAAACCCTAAACCCTAAACCCTAAACCCTAAACCCTAACCCCAAACCCTGAACCCTAAACCCTAAACCCTAAACCCTAAACCCGAAACCCTAAACCCGAAACCCGAAACCCGAAACCCTAAACCCTAAGCCCAAAGGGTTTCCTGGGGACCGGCACCTTCCTTGTGGGGGACCGCCTCACAGCTGCGGACATCGCCATCGCGCCGGACCTGACGGTCTTGTGGCTTGCACAGGGGTTTAGGGCTTTTCTGGGAGGGTTTAGGGGTTGAAGGGGTTTGAGGGTGGTCTTGATTTTGGGGCTTGAAGGTGAGGGGTCTCAGGTTCAGGGTGTAGGGCTGAAGCCCTAAACCAGGATTCATAGCTTCAGAACGTTTTCAGTGCTCTTAGCAGTTTCGGGTTCCAGGTTTTAGACTTTAACCCCCTAAGGCTCTCGTCGCGCGTCCCGATTCAATATGGGTCCCTTCTAGGCCCTCCTCCAAGCCCCAAACCCTGAAGCCCGAACAAGAACAACAGCCCCCTACCCTCCCCCCTATAACCCTAAAGCCTAAAGCCTTTCAACAGGATTCCTGAGAAGCGAGAAGGCTACCCTAAAGGGTCTACCCGCGCCTTAGATCTGGTTCATAGCCGCATGTTGGGATCCCTCGATGTTTCGTCTGAAAGCCCTCGAGGCATCAGCTTGCCGTCTTGCATCCTCGGCTCCCGAACACGGAGGGCGGTTGAGGGCATTGGGACGGAGATGATGCCTGTAGGGCAAATATGGCAGATTGTGCGCCTCCTCGACTCCTTCCCCCAAGCCTCAGCCGAAAGCTGCCAAAGCCCTAAATCAAGAAACCAGGACCACCCTAAACCCTCGCTTAGAGCCCTACCGGTGCAAGCCACAAAGGCCATGGACGTCCGGCTGCAAAGCCTCCAAAGACCCTGGGAGGCCCCTGAAAGACCCCATTAAAAGCCTTACCTGAGCTCTATGCCCGTCGTGCCATGGTGACGGCTCTCTGGCTCCTCGCAGGCTACTTCGGCCTGGGGTTTTGCCTTCACTTCCTGATCTGGTTCTGCGAGGTGCTTCGCACGCTGCTCTGTCCCAGCCGCTGGCCGGACGTGCCGCTGAAGAACAAGAGGAAGAGCGAGGGGGGAGAGCAGGCGCCCGTGGGCCAAGGGCACGAGTGCTACGACTATGACACTCCTGGCTGGCCTTTGCTGGCCATCCTCAAGCTGATATTTGCCTTGCTGACAGGCTTGCTGCCGTTTCGCTTCATAGCCTTCATCACCTCCTTCCTCGTCATTGCCCTCGCCCTTCGAATCGGGTTCTGTCTGACGCCTGGGTCTCTGGGCCACCGTGCAGTGGATCTTTTCTTCCACGCGATCACAAAGCTCCTGTGCACTTGCTGCGCCTGCTACGTCACGGAGGTCCTCCACAAGGAGCGTCTCGCGTGGATCCGGAAGCCAGGCCCCCATCCCATCTTGGTGCCGAACCACATCTCCCTGGTGGAGGCCTTCCACCTCCACTACATCACCTGGGGTATGAGTGGCTGCGTGGCCAAGTCCCAGCTCTCAGTCCCGGGCGTCGGCGCGGCCGCCAAGTTTATGGGCGGGCTCGTCATCGATCCCAAGGACCCCAACATGAAGGAGAAGGTCAAGGGTGGCATCGCCCAGTATGCCAAGAATGAGCCGGACGAGCGTGGGCGCTATCTCTTCAAGCGGGCCTTCTGCATCTACCCTGAGGGCATCACCAACTCCCAGCTGGGTCTCTACCGCTTCAACCTGGGAGCCTTCGCCCCGGGTGTGCCGGTGCAGCCCATCCTCCAACGCTTCCCCTACACGCACATGAACCCCGCATGGGTTTCCGCGTCCAAAATCTCCCCTGGAAATGACCTTCCTTGGATTCTCCTCCGATACATGTCGCAGATCACCATGCCCTTGCAAGCAACTGGGCTGCTGTCAAGGAGCTTTGAAGTTGAATTTATCTCACAATCCGAATCGAGATGTTGTCTAGAACACGATTTCCTTGCTATGGCTATCTTAGTCCAAAAGACTTTTTTAAGTGAGCAACCCAGGTGAAGGTCATGGAAGTCTGGGACCCGAGCGATGCCGAGGTCGCAGATCCCCTGCTTTTCGCGAGCAACGTGCAGAACTACATGGCTCTGCAGTTGGGCTGCGTGGTGACGGACACCAGCAACAAGATTCTACGCGAAAAGGGCGGGCCCTTCGATCTCAAAGCCGCGAAGGTGAAACCGAGCGAACGCGACGACGAGTCGGGAGAGCAGGCCACTGAAAAAGCATGAACACGTGAAGCGGGGGAGAAGGGGGGCGCTGCTGCCTCGGGAGGACAAACACCGTCCAAGGTGTGGGGATGTTTTGGTGCACATGGGGTGATGCCACGGCGTGCATGGCAAAGGTGGTCCGGATGAGCGTTTCGTTTTCAGCAGTTTCACGATCACCCGAGTTTCACCGCTGGACGAGCCTGTGTGGGCTCTCGCGTCTCGGAAAAATTGGCGGGGGACTCCAGTTCTTTTTTTGGTTCAGGAAGCCCGATAGGCGCCAGCCACCAAGGCCATGGACGTCGACCCCAAGGTGGACGAGATCCTCGCGCCCTACCCTGCCGTGTGCGGGTGGCTGGCTCGCCTCCGCAGCACGCCAGGAGGGGCTGCCTTGGTCAGGGGCGTGTAGGGCTCTTCAACCCTTGAACCCTAAACCCTAGACCCTAAAAAACTCTAAATCTGTAACTGTAACCCTTAAGCCCTTGAACCCGAAGCCTTCTGGATTGCACCTCCGAGCTTTCTGGCAGCCCGAACACCTGGAAAACCTGGCCTCAGCTCGTTTTTGTCGAGATTGTTGCCATGCACTAAAGCCCCAAAACCCAAAACCCTAAACCCTAAACCCTAAACCCTAAACTACAACCGAAACCATCCGAAGCCCCAAACTCCTCAAGCCCCAGGTCGAGCCTCCAGTTCCGCCTCAGGGGCTTTGTCGGGTTCAGGGTCTAGGGTTTAGTAGGGTTTAGAAGGGTTTAGTAGGCTTTAGTGGGGTTTAGTAGAGATTTAGTAGGGCTTAGGGCTCAGGATCCTAGAGGCTGATACCCTGCTTCTGTTTTGTCGGGTTTGGGTTCAGGGCTTGGGGTCTAGCAAACATCCTTCTCATAGAGTCCTAACCCCAACAGAAGCTACTCAGAAGAAGGGGCAGGTTTTTGAAGACTTCGAGTTTTGAGTTGAAGTTGTTTCTTGGATCTCGAACTTCCGAACACGTTCGGGAGGTTTCTGCGAGTCGCACGCTGGTTTCAACAAGGCGCTGCCGGTGATCAGGGAGTGCCTGGGCTGTTGGCAGACGATGGGAAAGATCCGACCCTAAACCCCAGACCGAAAATCCCAAATTAAAGCTTGAGCATCCTAATCCCGAACCCTAAACCCTAAAGCCGCAAGCACTTAAGCCCCCAAAGCCTCAAACTGCATGGCAGCTGTGGGGCAGTGGCTGTGCATCAACATGCGTTCAACTCCTCAGCTATGTAGGACCTTGGGACATCTTACCTTTCCTCTGATTGGCTTTAATGGGATCGTGCAGCGTCGTGCCTTTTTTAGGACTACATTCGGAGGTTTTCAGGGGCCAATTAGGCGCGTACCCAAGACACACTGTGGGTCATGTGCCGCAGCCATAGACCTTAAGCCTTTTCTGGCCAAGATTGTGCGAAAGACCGGGCGCCCCTCCCCTAAGCCCTCAAGGCACTACGTCTCCCGCAGCATGAGCCCGGGTGACTTTTCATTCATTGACTGCTGGGAGGAGACTTGCTTCGGCTTTATTGGTTTAGGGTTGAGGCTTTGGAGGTTTGGCGGGTTAGGGGTTTAGGGGTTGAGGTTTGTAAGGGTGACCCCCAGTAGAAGCTCTCTGGGCTTGCTCTGGTGCGAGCTTCGAGGGGGCTTCGGTTCTCTTGGAGCTTCGGTCTTCGCTGAGCGGAGAATTTTTTGGCGCAGGTTCCCAAGAATACTCCCCCAATCCAGCGGTATCTCCTTGTGGACCCTTTGGTTTATCTGTCGAAGCCGGAGGACCCATGGCTGGAGCCAAGTGGGCGAGACTAGCACCTGGTGTCGGGCCCTCCACTGTCAGCCGCCCCTATCTTGGATCAGGGGAGTCGCTTGAGATGCTGCGTTGGGTGAAAAAGCATGGCGCTGGGGCTCTGCCTTTTCGGCGAATCGCCTGCAGTATCAGATCAGGGTTTAGGGTTGTAAGGCGAAGGCACCCAGAACTTCAACTACAGCTAGCAGCTAGCTCTGAGTCGGCAGGTCTCAGAGAAGAGCCCCGTTGCTTGCGTAACGTTGCAGGAGGTTCCTCCTTGAAAAGAGGGTTAGCCGCACAAAAAAAATCCGACCCGAAGCCCAAAAGGCAAAATCCGCATCATCTGGCCAGGTGCACGACGACGTGAGCAAGCTCCGGAAGGTCCAAAAGACCATGGAGATGAAGAAGAAGAAGGGCCAGGCCCAAGTTGTTAGTTTTTCCCCACCCTCGGTGTGGGGTTGTTAGATTTTAAACTCAACTCTTCTCCTCGCCCGGAACTCTTCTCCTCGCCCGGTCTACTCCCTCGCTCATGCCTGGAGTGCCCAGCCCCAAAATGTCCCTGGAGTGCCCGACTCTACAGTGTCCCTGGTGTCCCGCCCCAGTGTCTCCCTGGAGTGCCCAACCTCAGAGTCTGCATGGACTGCCCAACCCCACAGTGTCCCCGAATTGCCCACCACATTCTTCCTGGAGTGCCCAACCCCAGAGTGTCCTCGAAGTGCCCAGCCCCAGAGTCTGGGAGTGCCAATTCTTGGAGTGCCCAACCCCAGAATGGTCCTGGAGTGCCGAACCGCAGAGTATCTCTACCAAGAGAGGGTGGGGATGTTTGAAGGAAAATAATTTCTTGTGTGTGTGGCGGGGAAAGGAGGTTCGGGATTTCGATTGATGTAGGTGATGAGGCTGGGGGTTAGAGGGTTTAAGGTTTCTTGTTTCAGGGTGGCCCAAGCCCCTAAACTCTAGAGCCTGGAGCCCTGAAGCCCCCGAAACCCCAAAGCCGCAAACTTGGGAACCCAGAGCCGAGTGCCTGCAGAACTCCTTCCAGGACCGCTGGAGCGCGAAGGTGGAGAGCGACAAGCAGAAGGCGCAGGGGCGTAGGATTTAGGGATTTAAGGGTTTGGGCTTTAGATTTGGGGTGGTTAATATAGGCTTAAAGGTTTAGGGTTGTATTTCAGGGTGTGGAGCTTTGTGTTTGAGGTTTTTGGGTGCTAAAAACGCCCACGCCAGGCCGAGGAGAAGCAGGCGCAGCGGAAAGAAAACCTACAGAGCCGAGGCGCCTTCCGTCAGCCGCGGCGCGCTAACAGCCAACAGTGAACCCGACACCCCAAAACCCCTCAACCCCCGGATCCCCGGGATCAGGGTTTACCCAAGTTTACCCTATGCTCCCAAACCCTCAACCCAAGACGAGGAAGGGAAGAGCTAACGCCGGCTCTGTCCTGCCCTATGGGCTAAGATGAGAATCCGGGATTTTCTTGAAACGTTATCCATCGGGCTTGGGCACCACATGTATATATATATATATATATAGAGAGAGAGAGAGAGAGAGAGAGAGAGAGGTTTGTAGCACATGGGACTCTCGCGCCCTTCGGGGCGGCTCCCCTCTGGGGGGCCAAGCGTGTGGAGAGAGAGAGAGAGAGAGGTTTGTAGTTTCAGGATTTCGGCGTTTCGTGTGTCTAGGGTGTAGGTCCTAAGTCTTCAAGGCCTCCTGGGTACCTGAACGCTTGCACCCCCTAAGCTACTCCGAGAGTGGACTGAGGGAGTGCCCCCCCCCCCCCCCCCCACACCGTAAACCCAAACCCCTAAGCCCAACACCGCAGGTACGAAGAAGAAGTCCCAGATGCAAAGAAGGATGGGCTTCGAGGGCAAGCGCACGAGCTTCCTCAATTCGGAGTGACTTGCCGCCTAGACCCTAAAGCCCTAGACCCTGAAACCCTAAGCCCTGAAACCCTGAACCCCAAAACCCCAAAACCCCCCCAACAGCAGCTTCGGCTCCTAACACCTACGGCTCACACCGAGACTGTCCAGCAAGTTTTCGTCGCGTCTCACTCCGCCGGACGCTTTTGTGGCGCGGGAGTTCAGGGTTTTTGGGGTTTCGGGTTGTAGGGTTTAGGGTTTTAGGTTCTGAGGGTTTTAGGGTTGTCGGCTGTTTTTGGGTTTTAGTTTTAGGGATGAGGGACCTCAGGGAAATTTTGGGGTTCAGGTTCAGGGTTTAGGGTTTAGGAGTTGAGGCTTTACGAGTCTTTTTTGGAGGCTACCCTAGAGCCCGCGCCCTAAAACCCTGACACCCCCAAAAAAAATCAAGGAGAAAAACGTATCTTCGTATGAAATCGAGACCACACAAGGATGCGATCTGAGCAAACCTTTGCCCTAAACCCCTAACCCCTGCGCCACAAGGCTCGGCCCCCTCTCATGGCCAGCTTCAGATCCCGGCTCCCCGTTTGGGTCGCCTTAATCAGTAGGCCTCAGGGCAGATGAACCTAAAAACCCTCAACCCGAAACCCACAAAGCCCCGAACCCCCACGGACACAGGAAAGCCCTGCTTTTGCCCGTTGCTTCCCGAACAGCCCGAACCCACAAATGAGCGGAGGCTACCAAAAATGGCCTCTCAATCTTGTTTCAGGCCGAGGGTTTGGGGTTTAGGGCATAAGGTTTAGGGTTTTTAAAAAGGTTTTAGGGCTGACTCTGAACCCCAAAAGGAACAAGAATCCGCAAGGGACTGCGGAGCCCCCAACCCCTCAAACTCTCCAACCTTAAAGCCCCCTAAGCCCTAACCCTCAGCCCTAAAAACCCTAGAAGAACTAAACCCTGATCCCGATTGATCTAGCTGGCCTCGCGTTGTAGCCTCGCTGTGCCATCATGGCCATCCTGTCCTACCCAGCCCAGCGAGCTTGCTGAAGAATTTTAGAGCTTCAGCGTAAAGAGGGCTTCTTGGAAGTTCACGGGCAGTGATAATTGGAGTATTTTTGGGTTAGGGTACAGGAGTATTTTTGGGTTAGGGTACAGTTGGGTTACCTCGCTGATCATAATACGCAAGCCCCTGTCGCAACACTCCGGCGAGGGACGCCGCAAGTAGGCCTAAACCTGAAGGTACCCAAGTTCTAGGCCCGAAACCCCCCAAAGCCCCCAAGCCCAGACCCCCCAAACCTCTAAACCCTAAACCCGAAACCCTAGAGCCCGAAACCCCAAAGCCTCTGCGCTCCGAGTTGGGCGGGGTGGGACGGTGTAAGAGCCGACGGAGGGAAGCTGCCTGCCTCTTGGGGTTGTTCGGGGTTTGTTGGCTTTATGGCTTGGCGTTTAGGGTTTAGGGTTTAGGGGGTCTAAGGGCTTCATAGAGGTTTTAAGGATTCATAGAGGGTTTCAGGGCTTCTTCGAGGGTTGCTTCGTAGAGGTTCTTGGACGTGGCCCCTGCCTCTTAAAAACCCAATTCCAAAACCCTCAGCGCTTCCCCCCAGAACCCTAAACCCGAAAACCCAAACCTTAACCTTTCGGAACTCCAAATGCTAAAGCCTAGGGTTCAGGGTGTAAGGGTTTCATTCGTATGGATCAGGGTTTCGGTTTAGGGCTTTGGGGCTTTCAGAGGAAGGCGCCTGGGTTTGTATCTGCCGACCCGGCAACCCCCACGGCTTCCGGCCGCCTTCCGCAGCGTCCGCCAACAACAGAACATGTGGCCGACAGCCCGAAAAAGTGGGCTCCTTTGAGGGGTTCCCTGGTCTTGCTCGGGGCTTTGCTCATTCTAGGCTGGTTCCTTGAAGGGTCAGGGTTGAAAAAGGGTTCAGGGTCCATAGGGTTTAGGGTTTACGGGGTGGCATAGGCATCAAAAAAAAAATAAGCATCAAAAAGAAAAATAATAGGGATCAATAAAAAAAATAATAGGCATCAAAAAAAAAATAAAGCCATCCGGCCCACCTGCGTGGTCCTCTGGTCCCGTGGTCCTCTGGTCCCGTGGTCCTCTGGTCCCGTGGTCCTCTGGTCCCGTGGTCCTCTGCGTGGTCCTCTGCGTGGTCCTCTGGTCCTGTGGTCCCCTGGTCTTGTGGTGCCCTGGTCCTCTGGTCCTCTGGTCTGCTTGTCTGTCCGCCTGGTCCTGCGGGTCCTCTGCGTATAAATAAATAATTAATTTAGACAAATAAGTAAAAATCAATAAATATATATATATATATATACACACGATAGTGAAGGTCGACGTGTGTGTATATATGTATGTATGTATGTGCATATATATATATATATATATATACATATTACATAATACACATTACATTACACATTGCCTATTATATACTATACATTATACATTATACATTATACATTATATATTATATATTATATATTATATATTATATATTATATATTATATATTATATATTATATATTATATATTATATGTTATTTATTTTATATTATATATTATATATTATATATTATATATTATGTATTATGTATTATGTATTACGTATTCTGTATTATGTATTATGTATTTTGTATTATGTATTATGTATTAATTATGTATTATGAATTCTATATTATGTATTGTATTTGTATTATGTGTTATGTATTATGTATTATGTTAAATATATTTATTATGTCGTATGTACTATGTATTTTTGTATTATATATATTTTTATATAATTATTATTATTTATTACATATTACCTATTATATATATATATATTATCTTTAATTTATATATATAAATTACTATCTGTTATACCTATATATATATATATTTTTATATTAAACATTATATCATGTGTATATATATACACGTATATATATATAAAAATATATACATATATATATATCTATCATTTATATTTATATTTTCATATTGTCGTACATTATATGATATGTGTATGTATATAAATAAGTAAATATAAATATGAATAAATAAATAAATATAAATAAGTAAATAAATAAATAAATATATATATATACTTATATTTATATCGCATATTGTATATTACATGCCATATATTGCATATTATATATTGTATATTGCATATTATATACTGCATATAATGCATAATATATA